GAATTATGGAAATTCTGTTATTAAAACTAAAACAACTTTTATGAGGTTTAAATTCGCAGGTCTGTGTTATCTTTAAGAATATTTCCATTAGCATTTGCGATCACACCAAGTTGGCAGGAAAGCTGAGAACAGTTACTATTTAATCTTTTGAAATTTAAGAGAAAAGCCAGAAACTTTTTATTTGCTTCGCAGTAATTTTATCTAGTATTTAAAGTATATGTGTCAAATCTGTATATATTTACAAAGTTTATAAATTAATTTCAGTTTAAAACAGTACTGAGAGGGAGCAGTAATCGCATAAAGGCAAGCTGTTAGAAGGTTCAATTTTATTAAAGGCGTGTAAAAATGGCGGATTATGGCGGTTATTGGAAAGGCTACACTGGAGGTTATGGAGATAATAGTTCCAATTCAAGATCCTCTGATAGAGATAGAAAGGATAGACATGATGGTGCACCACCTCATAGCAGGCTTTTTATTTTGTGCGATAAACAAACAACCGAAGAAGAAATTCGCGAAACATTCGAAAAGTTCGGAAGAATTGAAGATATTTGGGTTGTGAAAGACCGGTCAACCAATAAGCCTAAAGGAGTAGCTTATGTGAGATTTTCAAAAACGTCGGAGTCGGCGATAGCTATGGAAACAATGGACGGGAAACGTATACGTGAAAACCAAATCCCAATGAAGGTTTGTGCAAATAAGTTGTTTAATGGTTTTTAGCATTATCTAATAACTTATATTACTGTATTGGTATTAGTTCTAACACCAACTAACGGAAGAACTGCTGAAATTCTTCAACAAAAATTTATGATATTTAGGCTTAATTTATAGTTATGAGTAACATAATGAGAAAAACTAAAAAAAGCTATAATTTTATAACGGTATCATGAGCACAACCAGAGGTCATCAGTTTGCAATTTCATTTTTATGTTATGTGTGCAGTTTATAAATTATAGAATTTTTAACTAGTGTATAACTATAGTATAAATGTCATTGCTATTTTTCATTTTAAATTTTAAAATTGGCAAAAAATACCTAGTTATATATAGGGTGTCTGGAACCCTAGGCATTACAAAAAATTTTAAAGTAATCGATGACGAGGAACCCACTTTGAAACTAATAATGCTTAGAGACGGCTTGAATAGGTAACGAAGAAAAACTTTAATATTAAGATTCACCTGTAACCTACTGTCCACTCATATAAAATAACTCAGATTAACCTGCTGTCCACACTTATAAAATAACTTAAGATTTATCTGTTTGTTGCTGTCCACTCATGAGAGATGCTCTTTTTGTTCTCTTCAAGAATTACAATGCCAGTTGAAATGATCTACCATTAAGGTGTCTTATTTTCTCCTTTTTTTAATTGTGGGTTTAAGTTTCTTAATTTCCACATCAAATTTTTTTTGCATGTGTATGGTAATTGCAAAATAAGTTGCTTTTGATGGATTAAACTGTCATTTTGTTTTTGCTGCAATATTTAACATTAACCAATGTTTACCAGTGTGTTAAAAAAAAAAGGCCCTGATAGAGAAGGACCATGATGTCCATATATTTAGCTGATTTAGCAAAGACAGTGGAAGTTGGTTACGGCATCTTGATGGAGACTAGGAGTGAAATTCATCCTAGCACTCCGATACAGTCTAATCCTTGATCATGAGAGAATATACCCCTGTCCCTAGAGATGAATATTTTTATCCAAACACCAAAAAATGAAAAGTCACAGAAATTTTTGTGATTTAATTATAAATCAGTCAGTGTCTGGAAAAGATGCAATAAACTATGAACTAATCACTGAAGTACAGTTTGTTTATGATCAGTGTGGCTGAAATAAAAATAAGCTTTAACAAGAATTGAAACATTGTATATAACATTTTTTATATATGTGTATATATATATATATATTTAATTAATTGTAATATTACGTAGAATGTGAAAAAAACAAAAACAACGCTGCTATAAAACAGACATGGGCATACATCATAAGGTAGGTAGTTATGCATTGTGCCCTGGTTTTTGAGGTACTGGTGGAAGTAAGACCCAAGTTGCATTGGGGCTACACTGTCTGTCCAGTTTAACCTCAGTTTCATAGGCCTCGTATTCTTTAAAAAAAATAGCCCACAATGTCCCACATCTTTTGCTGTCTGTAGTCAGATGTGGGAGGGTGGCTGGTCAAAGAAATAAAATAAGATTGAGTAATAAAAAATAATTGGAATACAATACATCCATGGAGGAGACAGTAAAACTGTCCTTGAAGTTGTCATTTCAGCCCTCATAACGATGTTTGGACATGAATATCGTGATGTACTAAGTCCAATCTAACACTTCATAGTGTTTTGACTCTTGATATAAATATTGTTACCATTCTATATTGTGAACAGGTAAATCGTTTTAAGAAATCCTTGGTTGGTCAGGATCTAAACGGTTTATCTGTTTAAGTTTTGGCACGTAGTTTAAAAGTTATTGTTTTTGGTTTTTACTCATTGTATATTGTTATTGGAATATTTTCTTGTCAGGTGAGGATAGCCCATAACAGAGAAGATGGAAGTAAGAAAGAAGCCAATGAAGAGGAACGTGTCTTACGTCTCTTTGTGATGGTTCCAAAAAGTTATACAGAGGATGATTTAAAAAAAGACTTTGAACAGTATGGTGAACTGGATCGTGTGAACATTGTAAGAGATCACAGTACAGGGGATAGCAAAGGATTTGGATATGTCAAATATTTGAAAATGTCTTCAGCAGCAAATGCTTTTGAGAACTGTCCAAAAAGTAAGTCTAAATTTTGAGTAGTGAAAAGTGACCCTCTTTTTTTTTAATGTTTTTAATAGAAACTTAAGCCTTGTCTGACTAAAATTATCAATTATGAAGTACATAATTCACTATTTATGAATGCTAACAGGTTCGTTACTGGTCTTAATGAAAGTTATTTTTACTTATAAAACAATAAATTCAGGAGCCAAACTTAACATTTTGCTTATAATTTTAAACTTGACTATCTTTGTGATCTTTCTGCATTTTATCATTACAAGGCTAGCCCTAAATTTACTTGTTCTGTCAAACGAAGGAAAGTTAGGGTGTTTAAAAATTATCCCAAAATCTAGATGATATCTCTTTCTTGTATATATTGTGTTTCTGTTTTGAACGAGAAATAATTCTGTAGTGTGTGTTCTAATTTTTCGGTTAATCTGTAACAACATGCATGTCACTTAAGTTATTCAAGAACAACAAAAAAAGATAATATTACTGACACTTCCAATATCACACTAATATCATTAATAGCACCTAAAGTAGTCTCCACATTTAGAGGTTTTAGTACGACCAAGATTTAATTCTATGCAAAATTAACATTTCACACTTTTTTTTATCATTTCAGGGTTACTAATCATAGTATGACAAGTACAAATAATTTTTGAATTGTTGTACAAAGAGAGTTTGATCATCAGGTACCTGCTAAGTTTTATCAATGAAATGAAAGACATGTTAATAGTAGATCATCAAAGTTTTTTTTTTTTTTTAAACCAATTAAGCTTCTTACAGCTATCTGTGTTTGTTGTGGATTTATTTTACTTGCTATTCTATTGATACATTATTTACGAAGAATCTTAGTGGACTCAATTTTTACTAGAACTGAACCAAGAAAGCTCTCTTCAATTCTACAGGTAAACTCAGTTTGTTTGTCTAGTTGACAGCATCATTTCTTGCTCTCTCACAACATTGGTTGGCTGAACATACAGACATTGTTAATTTGGCCTACAAAGAATATTACAGTTGCTGTGCATTAAAACATTTATTTATTTGATACATGGATAGTCCTTTTTTTTGAGTTACACTTTGTAAAAATTGTTTTGTGTAATTTTAGCTTTCAAGGCTAAGTTTGCAGACCCAAGACCATCTAGTCATTCCCAGCGGGAGAAAAACCTTGGTTTAGGGGGTGGAGTGTGGGGTTTTGATGCTTCACAAGGAGCTCCTCCACCACCACCTCAGTCTTCACCTCTAATTGGACATTTTCCAGGAACATGTAAGTGTTGTGCAGTAGGAGAGGTATTTCAAGTCACGAAAAATAATTTATGTACAGTTATTCTCGTCGATCTGAAATAAATAAAAGTCAATAAATATAATTGGAAAGTTTACCATGCACCAAAATCAGAATATTTATATATATATATATATATGTATCTGTGTGTTTTTCAGTTTGTGCTTAAAAGTTAAATAGGTTTGCTTAAAACGTGCTAGCTAGAAACTACATCATATTAATGAATGTAATGTAGGCTTAAAACTTTTCTGTTTGTAACAGTAGCACTGCAGTTTTTCTAAATGTAAAAAAAAATTTCCACTTACATATTAAAGTGTACATAGTGTCATACTGACCACTTGAAAATATTTAATGTGTAGTTTTGTACTGACCTCTTGAAAATATTTAAAATGTAGTTTCACACTGACAACTAGAAAAGGTTTAATATAGTATCATATTGACCACTAGAAAAGGTTTAATATAATGTCATATTGACCACTTGAAAATATTTAAAATGTAGTTTCACACTGATCACTAGAAAAGGTTTAATATGGTGTCATACTGACCACTAGAAAAGGTGTAATAGTGTCATATTGAGCACTTGAAAATATTTAGTATGTAGTTTCATAATGACCACTAGAAAAGGTTTAATATGGTGTCATACTGACCACTAGAAAAGGTGTAATATAGTGTCATATTGACCACTTGAAAATATTTAATGTGTAGTTTCATACTGACCACTAGAAAAGGTTTAATAGTGTCATACTGACCACTAGAAAAGGTGTAATTTAGTGTCATATTGACCACTTGAAAATATTTAATATGTAGTTTATACTGACCACTAGAAAAGGTTTAATATGGTGTCATACTGACCACTAGAAAAGGTGTAATATAGTGTCATATTGACCACTTGAAAATATTTAATATAGTGTCATACTGACCACTAGAAAAGGTGTAATATAGTGTCATATTGACCACTTGAAAATATTTAATATGTACTTTCATACTGAATCACCATAAAGGAATTAATACCAGAAAGTATCAACTGCTATGTTATTCAGTTTGCACAAATAATACACATTGCCTTTGTTGACTAATAGTTGAAATATAGAAAATATGCATATTTAAGTCATTTTTCTTGTTGCAGTTTTAATAATGGAAATAAGTTACCTGTAACTAACTCAAGCACGAACTTTTGTTTGATCTCATGTTTCAAAATTAAAATATTTCTCAAACAGACTGTGCTTTGTTAACAAAAGGACAGGTGTTGTAAACATAAACTCAATCCTCACTGATTAATAGTATGGACGAAACATTCCTGTTTTTTGCACTCCCTCAGTGAATCTCGTTATAAATAGACGTTGTTGATTGGTTATTTTAGAGAGCTCTAACTCTTAAGTCTATGTAAAAAAATTAAAGTAATCTTGGGTTTTATTTTAGTAAATACGGGGTTTGATACGACTCCTTGTATGCCTACTACTACCACTGACGATATTCTCAGAGTCAACGTCGCAGTTCCGCAGGCAGCAAGCTATGAACAACTTTATCATCTTTTTGACTTAATTCCTGGACTCGAACGTTGTGATGTTAATTCTGGTACGTTTATCTCGGAGTGTTTCTGAAAGTTTGAAAAAAAACATATCTAACTTGCTTACCACAGAGAAGTATATCATTCTGAAGTTATTCTATTAATTTTACTCTGAGTGGAACTGACATAAGTTGTTTTTAATATTCCCAAAAGGTTGTTCACTAAAAACTATACTACATTTGTTCTTTTTTAAAGAATGAATTTACTTGATATTATACTATCAAAATTAATAGTCTGAACAGTGTGATTTATTTTAAAAACTGATCTTTTTTTGGACTATTTTATTCTTTCAAAATACCCCCTTTTTTAAACTTAGGTCTTGCTACCTTAAAGTTCAGTAATCCTGAGGCCGCTGCATGGGCAAGACAGAAAATATGTCGTCTGGAATATCCACCAGGATTTATGCTACAAATTGTTGACATCTCGGCTGGTGGAGGAATGAAGTATGATATCGTCACAAGTTTCACAGCAGATTTGACACAATATTGACTCCTTAGTTTATTTGATACAATATTGACTCCTTAGTTTATTTGATACAATATTGACTCCTTAGTTTATTTGATACAATATTGACTCCTTAGTTTATTTCATACAATATTGACTCCTTAGTTTATTTGACACAATATTGATTCCTTAGTTTATTTGATACAATATTGACTCCTTAGTTTATTTGATACAATATTGACTCCTTAGTTTATTTGATACAATATTGACTCAGTTTAT